TTGTTTGGCGGGTCCGGGCTGGGGATTCGAACCCGCCACCTTAGGTGTACGTGGCTGGCGCCTTAGCCGGTTGAGCTATAGGCGCTGAGCCTAAAAGCCTCTTCTTACACAAAATTAAATTGTAAAAGAACACAGACCTCACAACAATATGATTCTCCTGGACATGTGATGCAAATAGTTGTATAAGTGGAACCATATCCACAGTGAACATCTCTGTGGCTACCCAACTTGTTGTACCTTTCATACACCTCACTGATTATAGGTCTTGCTCTCTCTCAGTGCTTTCCTCTTCTATCGTCTTTGTATTCCTACCAGTCAAGGAGTTCTTTCCAACTTTATTTCCTATATTATGAAAAATTAAGTATTTTTTTCTTTTCAATATTATAACAATATGTTTTATAAACTATAATTCTCCCCACCCAGTAATACTGGTATAATATTGGGGGGGGGGGAAGAATGCCTTCTCTCCTCTCCTTGAAAATCACTGCCCTATTCCTTAAGTTTGTTAGTTACAACCTCCCCACTCAATGCTCTTAGAACTAGAAAGCTTGATTATCTCCACAGTAGATTTTTAAAAAGGTGTGTTCTGAGTTAGTAGTTAGCAAGAGAGAATTCACTGAAGCCAGAACCATGTGATGAATAATATATACTAAAAGATGCTAAATATGTCATTATACAAAAATAGTTCCTTGTAATGTTAAGTAGAATTATGAGCTTTACTATAATGCTTGCCAATGGAGGGAAGTAGCCAACTACAGAACTGCATAAAGAATAAGAGAATATGTCATTACTATTAAGCTTACACATAAGTTACATAAAATACAATTTTTTTATCTCTTTAATATAATTTCCGTATTTGGCAACACCATTACCTAAGTTCTGGTATAAGTTTGGAAGTAAATGTATCCAGGCTTGGCACCCTTAGCACAGTGGTTACGCACCAGGCACAGACACCAAGGGTGTGGGTTCGAGCCCGGCCTGGGCCAACTAAACAACTGTAACAACAACAAAAAATAGCCAGGTGTTATGGTGGGTACCTGTAGTCCCAGCTATTTGGGAGACTGAGGCAAGAGAATTGCTTAAGCCTAAGAGTTTAAGGTTGCTGTGAGCTGTGATGCCATGGCACTCTACCAAGGGTGACATAGTGAAACTTTATCTCAAAAAAAAAAAGTGGCTCTGTACCTGTATTTCAAGGGCTAAGGCACCAGCCACATACACCAGAGCTGGCAGGTTCAAATCCAGCCCAGACCTGCCAAACAACAATGACAACCGTAACCAAAAAATAGCTGGCCTTGTGCTGGGTGCCTGTAGTCCCAGCTACTTGGGAGGCTGAGGCAGGAGAATAGCTTAAGCCCAAGAGTTTGAGGTTGCTGTGAGCTGTGATGCCACAGCACTCTACCCAGGGCAACAGCCTGAGGCTTTGTCTCAAAAAAAAAAGAAAGAAAGTAAGTAAATGTATCCAAATCCATTCAGATTATGGGGTGGGGGGTTAGAAAGTAAATGTATATTTTATATTTTTATATTTCAGAAAGGGGTTATTTCAATTTGTTTGAATTGGTTTTTCTGTTTGATTATACATTGCTTTATAAGTCACTTCGCGGGTTTCAAGTGAATGTTATCTGGCCTCCTCAGTTGAAGAGACCATCTCTTTTCTCTCTAAATTGGCTTTCACTTAAAATTTCAGTTTCATAATGCTTTCCAGAAAATTGTAACAGAGGAATGGAAATTTCCTCAATTTCAGTATATATATAACTTTAAAGTTTCATAAAACAATACTTTCTGTGCTCCATTTGCTCTGATATTTTTTCTTTCTTTTTTTTTTTTAAGAGACAAATTCTCACTTTGTCACCCTTGGTAGAATGCTGTGGCATCACAGCTCACAGCAACATTAGACTCTTGGGCTCAAGCGATTCTCTTGCCTCAGCCTCCCAAGTAGCAGTGACTACAGGTGCCCGCCACAACCCCTGACTGTCTTTTTTTATTTTTTAGTTGTAGTTGTCAATGTTGTTTGGCAGGCTTGGGCTGGATTCTAACCCACCCGCTACTGTGTACATGGCTGGCATCCTAGCTGCTGAGCTACAGGTGCCAAGCCTCTAATATTTTTTATTTCATTTCAAAGTAATGCTGGTATGACCAAAAACAACAGTTGGAAAATCACTGCTATAGGATAACATGACAAAATGCATTTTATAAACTGTAAAGCACCACTGAGATGTGAGCAGCTGCTACTGAATATCTGAGTTAAGACTTTAATGGGCCTGAAGACAACCTCTCCTTCCTTGGGCAATGCTAGAGGATCAAATCCACCAAGACTTTTGGTCAGGAAGACTGTACTCATGAGAATATGAGTAGATTCTCATATTTAGAAAACAAGGCATTAAGCATATAAGCACTCAAAGAAGGGAAGACAAATTAGTAGCCAAATAAAAAGGCAAACATCTATTTAGTACTTTATAGTTTATAAAATACAATATGATCATTAACATACATGATCACTTCTAATCCTAACAATCTTAGGGAAAAAGTGAAGTTCAAATGTTAGGCCTAGTGGGCCTAGGATAAGGCAGAAAGATGTCAGGCCTAGGCTATAATGGAAAAATACCAGGTAACCCCTGGCAAATTTCCAGACTGAAAGCTTTCAAAAAAAAAAAGAAAGAAGTAAGTCTTTTTCACTCCCAAGATAGATGGGAGAGTACTAATTGATTTCTTGCTTCTAGTTCACTCCTAATTTCTTGCTTGGCTAACTCCCTGGGAAATGGACCGGGAGGTACCAACTGTTCCTGGACTGACCTTTAAACAATACCAGGTGGGGAAAGTACTGAAACTAAGATATATGGGGGGAAAGTACTGAAACTAAGATGTATGGGGGAAAAATATTAAAACAAAGATGTATGGCTAACTGCAAAATTGTGCTTCAGTATAATGCTTGCTTGCTACCCTACCCAGATGAACCTGGACAGCATACATGCCAACCAGGATGCAGACGAAGCCTTAAAAACCTGACCCCTTAAGCACTTGGGGCTGCCCTCAGAAACCCCTTGTTGGGACACTGAGGCAGTCGCCAGCTGGCTCTTGAATAAAGAGACTCCCTTGCAAATTCTGATTGTCTGTTTGTGTGGTCTCTGGGGAACTCCTGGGCATAACACAAAGAGGTTGAGACTTGTCCCAAATTAGACAGTAAGTGACAGAGCCAAGTCATCTGATCTAAATCCTTCACCCCTTCTACTGTGGCAAAATATCAGGAAAGGAAAGTGATCAGGACTGCGTTTATTGTGTTTCATCAAAAATATTTATCCTCTGCATTTCCCTAGATGGAAAGTGGACTCTACTGAAGGTGGAAAAGCAACCTCAGATTTGGAGGGAGGGACAGGGCATGGCCCCTTTCAACTATTAGTCCAGAATTCATACCTGGCAATTCTGCCTACCAATACCAGTCATCTGTTTGATACTGCTTGTGCTCTGAGATTCCAGACATCTATTATCTATAAGTAGTGTGGCTTTCCATTCCCATCCGTAATCGTTCCAGAGATTTGGCCAACACAAGACTCACATTAGAGGGAAATTAAGTACCTGTCCCTCTTGTACTTCAGTAGATTGACAATATTAATAATGGTCTGCTTCCAGTAACTGTCATAGTTCTGCTCAGCTTGCCCTGAGGAAGGCAGTCTACCCTCCCTCTCTTCACCTCTCTCCCCCTACAAATAAAGTTCAACTAGCAAGTACCTGAGAGGGTGGGAAAGAGATTCCTTGTTATCTCTCCACTTCCTTCAACTCCCCCATATTTCTTCCTTATTCTTCTCACCTTGTACTCCTGCATCACTTCCTCCAAAGGCCCCATGTGTGCCGTTTGTGGCTCCTGGATTCTCAGCACACCACACAGATGGCCTCTGTCGACCTCGAAAGAGTTTCAGGGCTTCCTGGTGTTTGGGACAGATGCCTTGACCAGTCCTCCCTCCTCCCCCATAAGGAGTGGGGCACATCTGGCGAATTATCTGGATCATGTTAGCCAGCTGCATGTTGGAACGAAAGCTGCATCATATAAAGCTCTTTTGGCACTGGGGGCAAATGAACTGCCCTGGAGTGGGTGGATGTCAGGGTACACCTCTTCATCTTCTTTCTCATTGTAAGCTTCCAATTCCTCCTCATCTTCTGGGTAGACATCAGTTCTCAGGTCAAGTCTCAAGCCTCCTGGGTAATAGTCCCGATCTTCCTTGTCCACTTCTTCCCCGTCCCACACATAATCCACATTGTTCCAATTACTTACACCACTGTCACCAACCCAGAGTTCATCATCTTCTGGATCCTGGAACAGCTCCTCGTTGGCATTCCCCCATACAATACCTCTAGAATGGAGTTGTCCCATCCACCAGTGGCCCCCACGGCTTCCTCATCCTCCTTCCATTCATCATCTTCCTCCCGATCTTCCTCATTTTCCTTACCCCACAGCTGAGTCACACACCCGTGGCAGAAGTTGTGCCTGCAGGCGATGGACACCGGATCCTTGAAGTAATCCAGGTAGATGGTGCACACGGCTTCCTCCTGAAGTGTCTGCATGCGTTGGCACAGCTAGCCATCTTAACATGCTGCTGGCCGGTGTAGATTCGTCAGTTCAAAGCTGAGAAACGGGAATGCGCCTGCAGGCTTGCCTCCAAACTACGCTGGTGACCCAAGGCTGTCCTTGACCTTGCGCTTCCTCCTCAGGCCCGCAAAGAAGGCTTCATCCCTTCTCTCTGGACTTGATCGCCCCAGATCCAGTCTCACAGCTGTCTTCTGAGGTCGGCAGGGACAGGTCTGCGGCGCTAGTTCCAGTCGAGGTTCAGGGTGCAGGCCCCGACCCTGTCCGGCTTCTCGCTACCCTCAGAACTTGCTCCAGCCAGTAGCGTCCGGCTCAGGGCTCAGGGGCTGCCGCTCGTCTTCCAGCCAGACACCACCCAAAGTGACGTAGGCGCTCTGTTCCGCTCTCATGGGATAGGGGTGGGCAGTCGGAGGACCACCTCCTAATGGTGTACCCAGGGGAAGGGTCAGCTGGGGGTCCCGGCCGCCGGTCCAGCCGCACCTGATAGGAAAGACTAGTCGCAGAGGAGGAGGCGGAGAGACAGCTTCTGCTCCTGAACGCCTAACCGCTGTCTTGCCAGCGAGACGCGGAGGGACTCGGCCTCTCAGCAGACCTGGTACCCGAAAACCGACCCAAAGAGCGTGAGCGCGGCAGCCCAGCACCGACGCGCTTGCTCACTTGGGGTCTGTCTAGCCTCAGGTTGGACCCGGGCGGGCCGGGCTCATGGCAGCCGGCCTGGGGGCGTGGCCTGAAGGCAGGGGCGTGGCCTACGGTGCGGCGGGCGGAGCTCGCGGTAGCTCAGAGTGGTGGTGTTGTGGAAGGATTTCGCGTGGGGACTTAGGTGCTTCCAACTCTTCCTTAAACCAACTCACCCCTTTTCTTGCCAACTGCAGAGCTTCACCCTCCTGACCCTGACCATTCTAGCAAAGGTAACTTCTTTGTTAATCTCTGCTGTCCTGAGATCCCCTCAGACCTCTCAAATTCAGCACTCCCGACACCTACTTCTGCATCCATGACCCATGCCCTTCTCACCTAACCTTCCTTCCACCCTCCTTTCGTCTCTCTCTCTCTCTCTCTATAAGGACCAGGATCTTGCTATGGTCTCGCCTGAGCTAGACTGGAACTTCTGGACTCAAGGGATGGATTCTTCTGCCTTCGGGGTTCTGCTGCCTCTCAGTCCACACTCCACACCTTACTCCTGCCATTCTGGATTTGACCCCATTAACTTCAGACTTGGGAAAAGGAAAAAAGTGTTTCCTCACCCTCTCATTTCAGTCCATCCTGCAGCTGGCAGAGCTGATACCTGAAATGAAAGTCTGACTCCTTCATAGCATTTAGCAAAATTCCTTTGGTGGCCTATTTCTTGGCTTTGCCTAGAAGAACCCTGAAGTCTGTTGGCATAGGGAGTTGAATTCTGGTTCTTCTATTTGACTTCAATCAGAACAGTCCTATCTTCATCTACATTGTACAAACAGGCCTCTTCGTTAGATTTTGTTTGACCAAAAAGACTCAAAGTTTTTCTTTGTTTTTGTAGAGACAGAGTCTCACTTATTGCCCTTGGTAGAGTGCCGTGGCATCACACTGCTGACAGCAACCTCCAACTCCTAGGCTTAGGCGATTCTCTTGCAGCTGGAAGTACAGGTGCTGCTACAATGCCTGGCTATTTTTTGTTGCAGTTTGGCTGGGGTTGGGTTTGAACCCACCACCCTCGGTATATGGGGCTGGTGCCCTACCCACTGAGCCACAGGCACCTCCCAAGACTCAAAGTTTTATAAACATTTGAAAATCATAGGTCTTGGCTTGGCGCCCAAGCTTGGTGGTTAGGGCGCCGGCCACACACACTGGGGCTGGTGGGTTGAACCCAGCCCGGGCCTGCTAAAACAACAATGACAACTACAACAAAAAATAGCTGGGCATTGTGTCAGGTGCCTGTAGTCCCAGCTACCTGGGAGGCTGAGGCAAAAGAATCACTTAAGCCTAAGAGTTTGAGGTTGCTGTGAGCTGTGACAACACAGCACTCTACTGAGGGCAACAAAGTGAGACTCTATCTCAAAAAAAAAAGGAAAGAAAAGAAAATCATATGTCTGTTGTCTCCTTCTTGTGACAGACATTGACATCTCTGTCAGCTAAGTTCTGTAAGAATAAAGGCTAAGATGGAGTTAGGAATTCGAGAGGTTTTTTTTTTGAGGAGGTGGTTATGTATGTGAAAGCACAGGGGCAAGGGTTGGGCAAGGGGGCTTCAAGCCATGATGCAGGTTTGTCTCAGCTAACCCAGCGCCGAATTCTGGAGCCAGGAATGCCCCTTCTGTTGGGCAGAAATAGGCAGACCTCAGCATGACCATCTTGCTTAGTCTTTGGCTGGGGGCTGCCTGGGGAGACTCTGGCCTTGAGAGGGAGCAGTTATGAACCTATTTTTATTATTACTATTTTTCTTGCTGTGCCTTTGAATAGTAGTGGTAGTGGCAAAAATATAAAAAAAAGATAAAAGAGCTGGGGAAGAAGGAAGACACGGAGGAGAAGGGGGAGGAGGCAAGAGCTGCAGGAAGCTCCAAGGTCATAAAGCCAATCAGGAATACACCAACCAATGGTGGCAGGAACCAGGTGGCAGCAACCAATCAAAAGTTCACACACTATCATTCCAGCTAAGACCCCCAACGACGGAGAGGCAGTTGGCCTATGGGAATCCCAAGACCTCCCTAGTGACCGAGGAGTGACCAGACACTAGCTTTTTCTTCAGCTATTTTCTTCAGCATTTTATTGCAACCCATAGTACCTTGCGGGAAAGTGTATAAAAGTTTCCCTGGCCTTTGTTTCGGGGCCACTCCCCGCTGTTCTGCTTTTCTCTTGGGAGTGACCCGAGCATATGCTTGATAAGAATAAACTTCTTGCTTCTTCCATGTGTGAGTCTGGACTCTCAGTGATAATAATTTTGGCCCTAACAGCCTCAGCTTGGACACTGTGGCATATCCTGAAGGCCCAGAGCTGGAGCTGTCAGCTTGTCTCAGTCTTCCAGTGTGAATAGCAAGTTTCTGCAAGATGATCAGAGCAGCTCACCCCATGACCACCATCCAGGATCTGGCCCCTAGTCTTTCTTTAGCCTCACTTTTGTCACTCGTGACATCCCCTCTGGTGACAGCCCTCTGTAGTTTGCACATGCTCATACCAGGATGTTGCTTTGGTCTTTGGGCATGTTCTCTACCTAAAAGGCACTTGTCTCACTGCTTCACTTAGATGTAATTCCTAATTATCCTTCAGCTCTCTGCCCAGATGTGAGCTCCTGAAAGACACAGTTCTGAGTTTAGCACCAGTCTGTGTTGGATCCTAACTTTGTCACTTACTCTTTGTATGACCTTGGATCAGTTTCTTAACATCTCTGTGCTGTAGTCTTCCTATCTTCAAAATGACAATTGTCAGTGGAAAAGAACCCAAACTGTAAAGATAATTTAAAGAGGTTTATTCTATACAGAGTATATGTGACTGTGGTCCAGATAGATACATCCAAGAGGCCTTGACAAATGGTCTCAAACTGCAAGTGGTTATCATTTGGTTTTATACATTTCACGGAGGCAGGAATTGTACATAATGTCATAAATCAATAGTTGGAAGGTGTACATTAGTGTGGCCCCAAAAGATAGGATATATCAAATCAGGGGATTATAGGTTATAGGTGTTTAAGGATTCTTTGATTTGCAATTGGTTAAAGAAATGAAGTTTTGCCTAAAGCCTTGGAATATCTTTTTGTTTGTTCGTTCTTTGTTTTTTTTATTTTAATTGTTGGGAATTCATTGAGGATACAGAGAACCAGGTTACCCTGATTGCATTTGTTAGGTAAAGTCCCTCTTATAATTGTGTTCTGCCTCCAAGAAGTGTGTCATACACCATGACTCCCCCATCCCTCTCCCTCCTTCTTTCTCTCTGCTTCCCCATTTCCCTACCCCCCACCATGTACTAGGTCATCAATTGTCCTCATATCAAAATTGAGTACATTGGATTCTTGGCTTCTCCATTCTTTTGATGCTTTACTAAGAAGAATGTGTTTCAACTCTATCCAGGTTAATAGAAAAGATGTAAAGTCACCATCATTTTTAGTGGTTGAGTAGTATTCCATGGTATATATATACCACAGCTTGTTAATTCATTCCTGGGTTAGTGGGCATTTAGGTTGTTTCCACAGTTTGGCAATTGTAAATTGAGCTGCAATAAACAGTGTAGTGAAAGTGTCCTTACAGTAAAAGGATTCTTTTCTTCTGGGCAGATGCCCAGTAATGGGATTGCAGGATCTAATAGGAGGTCTAGCGTGAGTTCTTTGAGGGTTATCCATATGATACCAGAATTTTGCTCTTCAGTAGGTTCTTGGTCTTGGTGATTCGAAGAATAAATCCATGGACCACAGATCAGTAGTAAGACAGAATTTATTTACAGAAAGAATACAGAAGTGCCAGAGCTCCTGGCAGAGAGAGAAAACTCCAGTCAGTAGAGAAAAGTGCTCTCTCTGTCTGTCTGTAGGCTCTTTGTCAAGGGGTCTATATAGTCCCATGGGGCCCTGGGTAGTTACATTTAGTGGGGCTTGGTAGTTACATTTAGCATATCTGGGACATAGTGCCTGGGACATGTCTAGAATAACATGTCTGGGACATATCTGGCCCTTGGTAGTTACATTTAGCAGGGCTTGGTAGTTACATTTAGTATGTCTGGGACATGTCTGGAACAACATGTCTGGGTCACAAATGAATGCCTACAGTTCCTTTCATTCCCAGGCCTAGGAAATGGAGAACGCCTGCCCACCCTCCAGCCTGCTGGTTCCGCTGCTCCCTGCCACTGCACCAACATCACCAAGGTGGAGGCAGCAGGTCTGCGCCCCCCAGCTCCACAAGCTGGCTGGAATGCCACTTGTCCTGTATCACATATTTCCTTCCAAAAAGGGTATATTAGTTTGCAGTTCCACCAGCAGTGTAAAAGTGTTCCCTTTTCTCCACATCCATGCCAGTATCTGCAGCTTTGAGACTTTGTGATGTGGGCCATTCTCAGTGGGGTTAAGTGATATCTTAGGGTGGTTTTGATTTGCATTTCTCTGATAATTAGGTTAGATAAAATCTTAAGCCCCCTAGCCAACTGAATGGACCCCCTCATGGGCAAGAGTCACCCCCAAAATAAACACTTAAAGCTGAGCTGCCAGCCA